GTTCGAATCTCAGAAGGGATATGAGTTCATTCAATGTTGCAGCTACGCCCTGCTGACAAATACAACGAAACCTAGACCCAAGGCTTCCTACTGATCGCCCCCAACCATTTAATAAGTCATTTACCACAAAAACTTTCAGCAACGAAGTTACTGTTATTACTACTGTTTACAGCCAGTTTATGAATTAGGTTAATTCTCGAAAGTTAACCAATTCCATATTGTCATTTTGCGATAACGTGTTTTAACAATACTTGGGTGTGTTTATTAAACCAATCGATAAAATGAACCAAAATATAACAGTACACTAATACTGAATAATAATTTATGCAGAATTATTTCTACCAGAGACAAACACAATATTAGATATGGGCGTAGTTTTTCCAAAGGAGAATAACTTTATTTTGAGAATACTTTTATCTATTATATCTGTACATTTCCAAAAAGAGTTTTTATTTCTTTTATTCTGTTCATATATGTGTCAGAAAACTGGTCAACTTTACTGATAACAAACAACCTTTCTTTTCAGATTCTTATACTGTAAACAGTTAACTCTTAGGCTTTAAGAAGACTGTGTGACAGAAGTGAGCTAATGATGATGTCGAATTATAGTTATGTATATGCGTCATAGACTTTGCACGTCACGAAGAACATTTGCAACAACCTGTGGCAAACTTTTATCAAACATATGTCCTCAGAGAACTTCATATTCAAAATTAGATGGCTAGAAAGAAGTAGCAATAAGAAACCCTGGGACGAACCAATCAGAAACTTATTGCTCAACAACGGCTGTCTAATACCCCTTACTTTCCAATGGTTCTCTAGCCAATGCAGGAACTTATTGCTCAACAAATATATCTAAGAAAATAGAAGCGGTGGGACACACATGCGGAGGAGACCGTAAGGTGACATCGCGCGCCAGAACAGCCCTCGAATGGAACCGAATGAGAAACGACAAACTGGGTATCGATCCGATGGTGACATGGATAAGACCGTGAGAGGAGGAGATGAAGACTTATGGGCAATCGTGGGGCCAGCTAAAGAGTACTGCAGGGAACAGGACAAAGTGGGGATCTACCGCCGAAGCTATTTGGAAGCCATGGGAAAAATAATAATGACTAAATTAATAGTATTTGAGACAACATTCAAATGTTCTTTTTAAATGCAAGCATTATAAATGCCAAACATAACTGCAAGTTTATAGACATGGCTAAACGCAGTATGATGATCTTTTAGAGTTCAAAGTGATTTCCCTCATTGTTATTACACATTAAGCAGATTATAATCAAATGAAACTCCCAATATTCATAGAACATGACATTGTTAGGGTTATTCATAATGAAAAAACATTACGCGTAATCACATTTAAAAGTGGCGTCTGTGAATCAATGGCGGAATGTTCATCAGGCATATAGGAGGCCTGAGTTCGACTCCCGATTACCGCCTTCCTAAACCTTGCTCATTTTAATACCTCGTGTCAATCCAGGAATGAAGGAGCCTGAGCTTGAGGCTAACATCTTAACCTGTAAGATGACTGACTGACTGACTGGTTTCAATTTAGAACTTTGCACAAATGTGCAGCAGTTCGAGTCGCCACACTCTATGTAGCCCACAAAGCAAGAGAAGAGAGTAAAGGGAGGTCGAAAAACAAATAATAAAGAGAAGTGTGGGGAAAAAAGAATAGTAATATGGAAGAGCAACAGAACTTTATCGGATATGATAAATCGCAAGGAGTGAATGCATCTGCGCCAGCCACTGACAACGAGGATTTTGAGTCATATCACCTACTGTCTCGAGCCATTGTTTTTTAACATCCGCAGGACCCCAACCAGGAAGTTTACATCTTCCTACGTGGCTTAAACTAACTGCTGGAGATTTCATTGACTGTTGCCATATTTTTGTTTGACTACTATTAGCTCTTTTCAACCTGATCATATATCAGCTAACACTGCCAGTTAAGGAAGGCTTCGACAAAGCATATGTTACGCATTCCCTAACCGTGTCAATCGAAGCAACTTCACAACTTCGTTGACTGATTTCCCCTCCTCACCTAGCACTCGGCGCCTAAATTCAATAATACTTGCATTCAAGTATTGGTTTGTAAAGATTGGTTGATTGGTTACAGGATTTCATCATGAGCTGACATTAGTTAGAAAACCATTGGAAAACCTGCAGTGAGTACTGGACAGTTGTTTCGTCCTAGTTTGGGACTCTTTAGCAGTACCCACCTACCGTCAGGGTTCGAACCCAGGACCTTCCAGTTACAAGCAAGCGAGTTCGTAGACCTTTAAGCCACTGGGATCCGATCCCATGGCCTATGAATTCTAACTTCCGCCAATTCACACTATTATACAGCGCAACATGGAAGATAAAAGGCAGACACCTATGATCAAAGACAGTTCGCTTTTTCATCATGTCTTTTACTTTCAGTGGCTATATGTCATGGTTATAGAGAAGGACAGAGTGAAATACTGTGTAGTACACATGTCTTTTTATCGATAGGCAGTCGAATGTCACGCCTACTAAGCCAGAGATGGCGTAAGTTAACATGGGCTACACGAGTCATCTGTACCCTGTAAAATGAAACACCACCGCTACTAAAAATTCAGGGCTTAAAGCTTGAAATCGTATGTTCTCCTCGAAACGCAAGGAATAGAAGCAAATAAACTAAAAGTACCACAAAAAGACAACTGAAATCACTTTCCATCCACTAAGGTTGGAGATTATTCGTCCATTAATTCGTGTATCGACCCTCAAGTTACAGGGGTGGTAACACTGAATCTCCAAGTTCGACTTAGCCCAGTCTACCTAATGGACACCATTTGAATGGTATTTACATGCATTAATGAGAGAGTATTTCATAAAATAGATTACATATATTACGCTGCCATTAAGAGACTGTTTTGCGCTGCAACTTGCTGTTCATTTCAACTCATCACCTACTCAATATATATAAATGAATTCGGCCTTTTGACTTTGATTTCTCACATATTTTTTCTAAAAATGCAGAATTTAATGTCACAGTACCTAAAAACTACTAATTATACTAATAATATGAACGTGGGTCTACGTCGCTAGACTTAGTAGCATAGTTACAAGGATGCCTCACAAGGCCATTCATGATAACAATCTCGAGTAACCGGAAATTCAGTTACTCTTTATAAGAAGAAATTAACCCATTTTTAAAACTCCTGACTTGTTTGTTATTTACACGTTTTGCCAGGTAAAAGAATATTAACAAATCAAATAAATCGTTTGATATGTAATAAAATCAGATGAAATCGAAAACTCAGAAAAAGGGCGCTTTTACAGGTTGGAATTTGGAAATCTTTCTTTTGTTGTGTTGATTCAAAACGTCCCTAAAGAAAACTAGATACAACTAGAGGTGAACATTGATTTTTCTTTCTTTTCCTCTAACACACCGGTAAGAACTAAATTGACTAAATGTTGTAGTTTCCTCCAATATGTTTGTTACAAAACAAATCGTTAATAGTTTTTCTTAAACTCTAAAGCCTTTAATTAGACTATTTAAAACTTAAAATTGCCTACTGTTTGCATTATAACTTAGAATGAAGTAGCTGTTTAGTCCTCTGTAGTTAGTATTTTCATATCGAGTCACTGTTAGCAGTTATTTTAGAACATCTACTGAAGAGGATGATCTCATAAACAATTACCCTCAAGTGTTATTTTGTGGGATTTAATTGATTTCAAGATTGATCATGAAGTGACCTCAATTAGAGAACCAGTAAGATCCAGGGAGTACCAGACAGTCACTTCATCAAAGTATGTGACCTGACTAGAGATCAAACCCAGGACCTTCAGGTTACCAGACGAACTCATATACCATTCAGCTACTGGAATAGGATCCAAAAACCCATAAATCGTAACTTCTGTCCCGCTGGATGATGGTTGCGTACTACTGAAGATTCTGCAACAGGGACGAAACAGTAGTCCAGTAATTTGTAGTTTTCGGTGGTTCTCTAGCTAGAGTCAATTTCTGAACACTCTTGGAAACATTTATCTGATGACATGGTACTAATGGCTTTCAACATACTGCTAGTTCTCTTTTGAGGTGACAACTACGCCAAAGATCGGAGCATATTGCAGATAGGACAAAATTCCTTAGAATGATAAACTTTAGATTACTGTTTTACCTGGAGATTCTGTATAACGAGTAGTTTCAGCCACACTGAATATGGCGCTCAGAATAAAGCCATTATTCCTATTATTAAGCGTTGAGTAGAAAAAGCAACGCCATGTTGACACTTTAATCACTCCACAAGTTTAGTGACTGTTAAAATATGCATCACTGAAGTAGAGCAATGTAGTTAACATTGTAATGGTTATTCATAAGCAGACTATATAAACATATCCCTTAACAATAACACACTATTTAGGGAGGTAGTTACCTGGGGTTCTAGTGAGAAGTCGTGACCACTAGGGTGCAGCTGGTCGGGTGTGAGGACAAATACTCGCCAAAGACATTGGCTAGGGATCGCACTATGTCATGAATTGGCAGAAGTTAGAATTCATGGGCCACTGGATCGGGTCCCAGTGGCTTAATAGTATACGAGCTCGCCTTGTAACCAGAAGGTCCTGGGTTCGAACCCCAATGGGTGCGTACTGCTGAAGAGTCCCAAACTAGGACAAAACAGCCGCCTAGTAGTCCCGGTTGGTTTCCCCATGGTTCTCTTACTGATGTCAGCTCATGAGGAAATCCTGTAACCAATCAAATCCCTACAAACCAACACTTAAATAACACACTAAATGTTCAGTACAAAGAAATCAGGGAGGAGGTTAAACCGAATTCAGTCCTATCTCCATTTTACTGTTTTATTTCTTCAGCCAGTTTTAAATTTTGGTAAAACGAAACCAGATGTAAGCAAAGTAAAAAAAACTTAAGAACATTCTTCCTGAATATGAAAAAGCCAATTAAAAGTCAACTAATTTAACACAATATTAATAATAATAACAAAAACTATCATTATTGTACAACTACTCACTTTTGACATAATGCAGAGCTAAGGAAGTAGTCTTCAGCCAAATACTTTCCAAAATAAGCAAGACCACCAACTTCATCCAACATTGATTTTCTGACAACATATGACATACCTGTAAAACATGTTACACCTAACTGATTTAATGCCATATAACTACGAGCCATGTAACATCCAAATGTCACCTAAAAGTGAAATGGGAATTTTCAGCAAAAAAAAAATTAAAAATAACACAACTATGAAATAGGTGTTGCTACTGAAATATAATAGATAACGGAAATCAAACTATCATTATATATTCATAACTTGTTTTTCATGGATAATGTGAAATTGAACAAAAGAGGACATGATTCTAAGAATTTCAAGGGGAAACTGTCATACAACTTTTCCTTTATCAATAATAACGATAATAGCTTTATTTTGTGCAGCGTTTATGTATTTTACAAATTGTTCAGCACAGTCTGTGGCATGATATTTTCTCTTCATACAGGATCTTCAAATAAGATATCACGTGATAGCAGACGAAGTGAAACACTTCTGCCTGACATGAAGCGCAGACTGTATCACTGCCTATCACTTCCGAGTCTGACTGCTCCAAACTTAATAGCTTTCTGTTGGACATCAACAATTGGTCTAAGTCAAATGGTCTTATGTTAAATCCTTACAAATGTCAGGCAGTTAATTTTACTTTCAAGCATCGACGTGACTTACATGAACTAGTTAGTTCGCATGATGCCTGTAGCATAGATGGCACGGAAATTGAAACCAAATCAAGCATTAAATACCTTGGATTAGTTCTTTCCTCTGACCTTTCATTGTCATCCCACATCTTATCTATCTCTAAGAAAATGTTTCGTCTTACCTTCTACATTAAAAAGTTAAGACAATCAGGTATCAACCAACCTTTACTTTTTCAATTTTTAAACTCCTGTATTTTACCTATTGTTCTCTATTGCTCTCCATTAATCTTTCTTGGGCTTCTCAAAAAAGACTATATCATATTACGAAGAGTATTAAATGCTGTGAGTAGGGCTTGTGGTATGCCAGTGTGTGAGCTCGCCAATACTATAGTCGAGAGACACATAAATTCCTTTACAAAATGGACAAAGGCTATACTGTTAGACCCTCTGCACCCCCTTTATTCACAACTATCCACTTGCATCTCATCAGGTACGACGAGAAGTCAATATAAAAAGTTATATGCTCTTACCACTAAGTACAGAAATTCTACAATACCCTATTTAGCCCGTACTTTATGTGATGAAGACTCTGTTAGACGTGAAACACATAAATTACTATGTAATTAGCGCAGTAAATCGACTCTTTCATTGTTCATCTTTCTGTATTTTATGGTGTCACACTTTCTATCGTTTAATTATATCTTTGCTATTTTATGTTAGTTGTTATTACTATTATTACAACAATTTTATGCTTTATGCTTATTTTTCTCCGTATTACATACTGTAATTTGCTATGTAGCTGCTATAACAACGTTTTATTATTATTATGTAATGTTTATTTTTAATTTTGTTTGTCGTTTTTGGGTAAATTAGATGCAATATTGTACTGAATGTTGAAAATTCCTTACTGTATCATTAGTACCGTTTTTGGAATAAAGCAAATTATCATTATCATTATTAGCAAAAGCTTATGATGTCTCTCCTTTGTCTTCTTCGATTAACGCATGTAATTTGATTGAATGGTAATTAAAAAAGTTTCAGGAACCCATACTGTGAACCAAAGACACAACCTAAAAACATCTATCACTTGCATTGCAATACAGCCGAATCCACAACTATCTTTTTTCTCACGATAATTAGAAACTTGCGTATCAGCAAGTTGTAAGCATATTGAATACTCGCTAGAATACATAACGGCCATTAAAGGTCATATTTTATCAGGTTTAAACGAACTGGACGGGGAAAATATCTATGAAATGTCGATGGGACGTTTTGGTAGCCCAAATTTAAGCAGACCCTCAAGGACTTAGATACAATACTGCACATATATAAATATGTTTGTAGGAAGATTGTTGTAGTTTGCAGGGAGGTAGTGACTTAATGAGTTGGTGAGGAAGGCAGTGAGACTTCAATCAATCATCAAAAAACTTCAAACGAGGTACCTTTCCGGATATTCTGCAACGAATTCTCATCAAGGAATTCAGTGATTTAATAGGTTATTTTAGGGTCAGCTTTTTCAAAAACTTCATAAATTTATTTCCCTTTACGAATTTGAATAAAGTGAAAACAACGGTTTGCACAAGATAAGATGATGCCATCGAAATGCCGGGAGCTCCAGTTACATTAATATCTACAAACTTTCCGCATATCCATACACTGAGACAAAATCAAGTAGTACATCATTTATAGAGTTCAGAAGTACGATACCAGAAATTCAGACAGTAACAAAACACATTCCGAAAACCAACTTGAGACAGAAGTCTCACTGAGTTACCATTTTTTTCCTTCACGTTCCCAGTGGAACAAACGGCCTCAAGCTAGTGGCTTGAAGCTTCTGTAAAAGTATTTAATTTTTACAGGATGGGTTTGCTAGCCTCATGCTCAACCTTTACTTTTTACCAGCATTATTTCTGGCTTAGCGAGGTAAGGGAGTGCGTCTGTGGCCGGGGATCGAACCCCGGACCATATGCATGGTCGGCGAGCGTCCTAACCGCTGTTCCACCAACGCACACGCTGAGTTACCATAGATCTATATTTTGACCAGACCCACTAAATCGGATGAAGTTTAAATTAAATTCATCTATTTTTATTCACTGCTCAACTCCAACTCGTTTCGTAACTGATCCACTTCACGACAAATAAGTCACTACTAAAAAGTGAATTAAGAGCATTAAAATCAACCGTGAATCGATTTTACTTCAAAGACGACCATTGCTGGACAGGATATTTCGATAATAAGGTATAAAATCATGTTACCGTGACGACTGCAACACTTGAATTCATATTGATTTCTTTAGTACCGTTTGTTAATATTTCTTCATATTAATGGGGAATAAAATGCTTAGATCTATGAATTAAAATTAATAATATCAAATCGACTTAATTTTTGTTAATCCTAACTTATTAATTTTTTTAAAAATTTCATTGTTTTCTACCCTCTTACTGCTGCATTTATACACCATACGACAATGATCTTAACTTGACTCTCTTTTCATTTTAGATAAGTCCTATCCAGTCTTGTCAACTATATATATATATATTTACTGGAGTACTGGACAGCTATTTCGTCAACCTAATTTAGTACTCTTCAGCGGTGCGCGCCCATCAGGGTTCGGACCCAGGACTCATTGAAGAAGACATTGTGAAGTGATCCCACTGTCATGAATTGCAACAAGTTAGAATTCATGAGTTGGCCATTGAATCGGGTCCTAGTGGCTCGATTAACTGCGAGCTCGCTTTGTAACCAGAAGGTCTTGGGTTCGAACCCTGGAGGTGGGTGAGTACTGCTGAAGAGTACCAAGCTAGAGCAGAGGAAACAGCTGTCCAGCACTCCCAGGTTTTCCAATGATTCTCTAACTGAAGTCATCTCTGGAATTTTATAACATCACTGAAAAAATCCTCAGACTTTAGCGTAACTTTATATATTTGCTTCAACACAAAGCTGTCACGGTCTAAGACCGTGATTTATTTGCTAAGTTCTTTACGAAAAACTACGATTTATGTAAACTAAATACATAAACTTTTGAGGTTATCTTGTTCATTTCAGGTCAAACTAAATAATCTGAAAGATTCAAATCGCATTAAAACTGTCCTACTCATTTCTATAAAAGTATTGAACAATAGTATTATGAAAATTACGTGAAAGCATCTATTATTTCTACATTTCATTAGACCTGTGATTATTTCCCCATGACGTCAGTCACAAACAAACTCACACTCACATCACTGTGTACGCAGACAAACACAATATATCTTATTACATAATTTACAACCACTACTCTACTGAACATAAACAGTAAGCAGGTTAATATTATTACCTTATAGTATCGAGGGTCAAAAGACAAATTGGGAAAATATTGATTCTCATAGAATAAGACAAAATAACCATTGCAGCATATTAGCTGTAAACTCATAAGAAGTCACGTTCGAGAGTTAAAAGATAATTTAGTCGACGAATGAATAGTTTACAAGGAAACAGCACTTATCTTAAATTATTATTATGATTATCACCAAATGTTTTTCATTTCAAACCATACATGATGGAAATAAACGTTTTGCAATGATAGCACAGTTAACAGACAAAGTTAACTTCTAAAGAAAACGTCCCTCATACAGTTAAACTAGAAATTATTCCATTCATAGTGGAGTTCTGGATAAGTATAATCATTAGTGATGCATAGTGTGGCAAAGTTCAATTTTAAGCACCACTATCTATCAATCAGCGAATGACCTTGTTCGTAGCAATCATATAAAGGAGGCACTTTTCGGTACGGAATACATATATTTACGAAAAAATACATATAAACTGTGTAAAGTGTTGCATAGGTTACTTTCCTCTCACATGTGATAAAAAAATCTCCCAGTTTAGCATAGGAGTATTAGTAGGAAAGTTACACCATATCCTATGCATATATATTCATCTAAATGACTATAAACGACATCGCTTTACGATCCATTATATTTGTAAAGTTACGTATATTAGAGTTAAGCCTGATGAGCTCTAACTGAAACAATATTATTCACTTAAATGTTTTGTTCTAAGAGATTATGGCCCAACATATATGTAAGTGGATTATATACCGAATTCCGAAGTTGTTATCGTGCACAGTTCGCTTACGTCTGCTACACATAGCTGAAGCAGTTGCAATCAAATCGACTAAACCGGAACTTTGTATTCAAGATCAACAAGTCCAGACGCTGTCCCTAACGTGGCCAAACTTAGACTGATGATTCTTCTTCTCACCAAGAGTGCTCCTTCCCCTTAACCCTCAAGGTTTTTTCTTTATTTGCTTATTATTACAATTATTATTATTATTCGTCATAATTTATACCCTTCATGCAAACATTCTCTTAATACCATCGAATTCTCCATTTATATTATCCGGACTTATGATTAGTGATATTATCTCTTTTCTCAATATATGCATCCACCTGTTTCATTTCACACATGCCTTATTTCATTATGAACCTCTCATAACGGTCTTACTATCTCCTCTTTAATACAT